TCAATAAGGCTGGAGCAAATTCACCTCTCTGAGCTTGACTTACAACTCAAGGGCACAAAACACTGAAGATTGATATCAAGGTGTAAATATATTAATTTACAATGAAAACCATAAGAGAAAAGGTAAAAATTAACTCTTACAGGTAGGAGATTAAAAAAATTTGAAATGTATGTGGTTTTTCTCTTAATGAGAATAAAATTGAACACTGATTATGCTTACACTAAATAAAAAATACAATAATATATTGTATTGTTTACTATATAGATTAATTCAAGGTATTGAAAGGAGAATTTTGTTAAATTGATCTAACAGTAAAAACAAAACAGATAAAGTTTAAAATATGTTCCCATTTTCTATTCCCAGGAAAAATGTTTTCTAATAATGAGTGTTGATTTCTTTTTTTCTTTCTTATTGTGATCAAATCCTAGAGTTCTAATATAGCTTAAGACAGACTGATATGAACAGATGGGAACATGGGGGCCATTTCCTATATTCCTTGGCTTCCCAGAAGAAGCACCCTACTATCAGTTTAAAGGGAGAAAGTGTTTCTTTCTATTTGTAAATAGGTACAAAAAGGAATTTCCATAACATCCCCTAAAACCTTTGTTAATCCACAGAAAGCGTTTCCTTCTTTTTAGCCAATATTTTACATTTTTATGTAAGGCGGTTCGTACAATACATAGACAAGATTTTCCTAGGAGGTAATGAGCTAAAGCTGCTCATGAGAGGAAGTTCTATCATCTACGATCATATAACCTGTTTAGTCTTATATCTAGAAATACGGCTTTTGTTTTAAAACCTAATGTCTCTGTGTTTGCTGTTTTATAAATAAAACATTCCGTTTACCAACCGAATTTTTTATTTTCGATTGGATCACTTGATGGAATGTCATCAGAAAAGACCAATCTCTAGAAAAGGACATCATGTTTGGTAAAGTGGAGGGTCAGTGAAAATGAGGGGAACCGTTCATGAGATAGATTGACACAGTGGCTGCAACCACGGGCTCAAACATACCAACAATAGTGAGGATGGCATAGGATGGGGCAACGTTTCAACGTTTCGTTCTGTTATACACAAGGTTGCCGTAAGACAGTGTTAACTCTATGGCAACTAACACCCGCCACACCAACAATGGTACATCACGTTTAAATACACTTAGCTCTGTTCTGAAGCAGAGCAAGTGGGTGAAGAATGAAATCCTGCCTATTTCCTCTAGATCTCGTCCTCCCTGTGAGAGTTCCACGGTGACATTTCGGTTTCCCTCACTTTGAGTGAGGAAATAAATTCCTCACTTGGCATACGAACAATTTTCTTCAGGAAAAATATATTCATTATCTACCTCACACATCAAGAGAGATTTTTCACCTTCACTGAGCTCTCCATGTACCTTCAAAGTAACCTTGAATTTAAAATGATTTATGCCACAAACTGAAACACATATAAAAAAATAGATTTTAAGAAAGCAAGCTTTCTACTTTTTTTAATCTACGTTTTCTAATTGTGCGATCGTGAAGTGTGATTCTAAAAATTTAAATGACTTTAGAAGTATTTGGGGCTCCAAAATGTGTGCCCATGGTGGCTAATTTTTAAACCAGAAATTAATCAAAAGACAATAAGAAAGTAAAATGTTCTTGAAGTCCATCATATGAATCATTTTTCTTGCATAGATTATTGGTCCAATAGAACGTAAATGGTTTTATAATGTTTAAAGTCTATGGTTAAAATGATTGTTTCTCATCTGATCTCACATGCCAATTTTTTCTAAAGAAAAGAACACGAATGAACTTGACTGCGCACTTGTAAAGTTGGTTGATTCATGTTCCCATCCTCTGATAATCCATTTTCTTTTACAAACTGAATAATAACAATTATATCAAGAAAACACATCATAAATCTTAATTTTTGACACTTCAGGATTTATTTTATAATCAAAAGGTTAATCTTGGTAAAATAAAAAATTATAAAAACAAAATCTTCAAATTATCTATTTTTAATAATCATTAAATAATCCTTAAATTAAAAAATCATTAAATTTTGTGTACATGATAAAGAATAATTGAAATGCTATCAGTTATTAATGTCTAAAACTATGGCTGGGCAAATTTTCACAGTTTTTAATACTTATTTATAGAAAAATATGTATTTAATAGTATGTTTCCATTAATCTATTTTGCAATGACAGCTTGATCTTGATTTTATTAACCCAAACATTTACCTAGCAAAGTAATTTTCTTTTTCATGAATCCATGAAGTGAGCTGACAAATAATTTCTGTAAGGAGAAGATTATAAAATATCTACCTTGAAGCAATCTATAAAGAAAACATGCTATGTTCTCACGAACTCTGGATCAAACGGGAGTTAAATTCAACTTGAAACAAGAGAGCATTATCATAAACATACCTTGTCCTTGGGTTACTCCATAAAACTCAGCTGCTATCCTGGCCGCTTCCTTGCGGTTGCCTTTCACAATGTAGAAATGACTAAGGATGGCCAGGCTGATTTTCACAAAAAGTTTAAAACAGAAAAGTGAAAGTATTGTAAAGTAGACATTGGATAACTGTTGAGCAAATGGACGGCTTTCTTCTAACACCGACATTTCTGCACAACCATCTGTGGTGGTCTCCAGTTAGATCCAAGTCTCAAATGTGCCTGGCTCTCGTCCGGGCGCGCCTGAACAGCTGGTCCTGAGGGAGGAAAATATCAGCTGGTAATGATGCCTACAGCTCAAAATATTTATACAGTCTGTAAAAGTTCTTTGCAAACGCCTATTGGCCGGACAATATTCCATGGGAGCAATTGCATCACGTGGCCCATTTACAAGACTCCTGACCTTCCATTCTCCATATAAAATGACACCCCACCTCTGTGCTCTGGATTTCAAAATCTGGATATTGAAATTTATATCCAAAGTATTTCCTTTTTGGGTATTTAATTATCAAGAATAATTTGAAAACTTTGTGAATGGGGTCCCTGTTGTTAATATTGTTAATACAAACGATATTCATAATACCAAGGTAACATGAGTCAGTTCATGCCTTTAAAATGGTCCTATTTGTGGACCATGAGCTAGATCACTAGTCAATGTGCTTGATGATCTTAATGACTACTCATGAAATTAGCTAATTATGCTGCTTTCACTGTTGTCCGAAATAAATAAATTATTTTGTCTACACATGGTTAGACTGGAAAATCATAGAGTAACAATTTTAAATGGTTAATTCATCCAGTAAGCACTTTTGAAGCACCTACTCTGTGTCAACTATTTTTCTGGATGCTGGGGACGCCAAGATAATTTAGCAGTCCCTGTCACAAGGATCTCACAGTCTAGAGGAGGAAATGGACAAGAAATCAGGTAAATATAATATAGATAAGGACAGGGTGGTATGGGAGCATAAAGAGGAAGAGCTTAATCCTGGTGGGGAAGAGTCAGAAAGAGCTTCCTGGAGGAGGTGGCATGTCCTGAAGAATTATCAAGTAAACAAAAATGTTTCATCCAGACTGTCCAAGACCAAGCAAAACAATATACTTTTTAGGCCTATCATCTGATTTATTTCATGACTAAAATGCAACTGTCTATACTGGCGGGCTTAGGTAAGCTAGATTTTAAAAGACAAATAGAGTAAATTATTAAGAAAAATTTTGTAGAACAACAACATATAGTATTTAAGCCAAAATATGAAATACGTTATCATACAGGGAGCTTATTTATATATTTACCTAACCAGGTTTGGGGCAGTTACTTGTTAGAAAAAAAGAAGAAGAAGAAAGAAAAATAAACCAGTTGCCATCAAGTCGATTCCAACTCATAGCGACCCCACAGGACAGGGTGGAACTGCCCCTTAGGGTTTCCAAGGCTGGAATCTTTTCAAAAGTAGACTGCCACATCTTTCTCCCACAGAGCGGCTGGTGGGTTTGAACCTCTGACCTTTTGGTTAGCAGCCAAGTGCTTTAACCACTGTGCCACCAGGGCTCCTTGTTAATTGTTGTACTCCTCCCCAATTCTTCTGAAAAGTTTCAAAATAACAAAAAATAAACATATTTTCAAGCACTAAAGTATCTCATAAGAAAATCAAAATGGCTTTTCTTGGAATAAAGAATCCTATTAGTGACTGGTCATATTTGTAAGGATAGTAGGATTATATGCCTCAGTGTATGCATTTTTTTGCTGTGTGTGTTGTCCATCGGACTGATTACGATGAAACATTCCTGAGACGAGAGAGATATTGTTGTAAAATCTCTCTTGTCCTTAGTATGTCAACTCTTCAGTATGTAGTATGTCAACTAAAGCAGGCTCCTTCTTTCCCCATTGATCAAGTGGCTTCCAGAAAAATTAATTAGGTCAATATATTAGAAAGAAATTACCAAGCTGTTTCTGAAGATAGCCCTTGGTATCTAGCCGGTCCCTGGGTGGTGAAAATGGTTTGTGATCAACTACTAACCTTAAAGTTAGCGATTCAAACCCACCCAGTGGCACCATGGAAGAAAGGCCTGGCAATCTGCTTCTGTAAAGATTACAGCCAGGAAAACCCTATGGAGCAGTTCTACTCTGTAATACAAGGGGTTGCCAGGAGTTGGAATCGACTGGATGACAGTGGGGTTCCTTTCGGTTTTTTATCATTATCAGAGGCAAGAAACTTGATTGAGTGGCCCTCAAATCAGACACAATGTGTCATTTCAGACATACTTTAGGAATCACTGAGAATTAACTTCAAAGTTAATTATCGAAGATATACACGCTGACTAAATGGTCCTCTCTTGCGCTGGAGGTGAGATTGTATCATTTAAGGACTTCCATGAGATTCCCCTGCATTCAGCCTCCTGTCTGGCGCGATGGTGCGTGCCTGCACATGGAGAGGTATGCCCGTGGACAGCTGGACCATCATAATGCTCTGAGTCACTACAACCACCTCGACATCAGTGCTGTAGAATCAGAAATAAAACTGGCCTTAGTCACGTTGGTGTGTCTGTCTCAGATTTCGCTCCTTCCCCTTTACCAGTAAGTGCTATTATAAATAATTATCTCCACATTAGCTAAGCAGCAACCTGGATTCTTTTGGGTTGAGGAACACTTTTATTTCACGGAGGCTGCCATCACTCCACATTAAGTTTCAACCTCTGTGGTTTCACTGGTAGAAAAAAATATTTAGGACTTTACATCAAGATGGGTCAGGTTTTATTTTTGTCATGGTTTGAATTATGTCCCCCAAAAAATGTGTGTATCAATTTGGCTAGGTCATGATTCCTGGTACTGTGTGATTTTCTTGTATGTTGTAAACCTGCCTCTGTGATGTTAATGAGGGAGGATGGGTGGCAGTTGTGTTAGTAAGGCAGGACCTGATCTATAAGATTGGATTGTGTCCTGAGGCAATCTCTTGGGATATAAAAGACAGAAGTGAGCAGTGAGACAGGGGGACCTCATACCATCAAGAAAGCAGTTTGGACTGGGGTCCCTGCGCTGAGAAGCTCCTAGTCTGGGGGAACATTGATGAGAAGCCCGACAGAGAGGAAAAGCCTTTCCCTGGAGCTGACGCCCTGAATGTGGACTTTTAGCCTACTTTGACTGTGAGGAAATAAACTTCTCTTCGTTAAAACCGTCCACTTGTGGTATTTCTGTTATGGCAGCACTAGATGACTAAGACAATCTTTATGTGTTCCTTGATTCCTATGTCTTTTTTCTGGGTTGGTATACTCTCTCCCAGCAACTTTTATCATCTCTCATTCTATTTCTTACTAAATGAAAATTAAAGCTAAATAAAATACCTCTGAGTGAGTGAACTCATCCAATATAAACTAGATGCTGCATTTTTCACATTGTACCAAAAACCAAACCTGTTGCCGTCAAGTTGATTCCAACTCATAACTTTCTTATAGGACAGAGTAGGACCGCCCCATAGGATTTCCAAGGCGGTAATCTTTACAGAGAAGCAGACTGCCACGTCTTTCTCCTGCAGAGTGGCTGGTGGGTTCAAACCTCTGACCTTTTGGTTAGCGGCCAAGTATTTTAACCACTGTGCCACCAGGGCTCCTTTTTCACATTCTAAACCCTTCAAAATATTTAAAAGACACATGAAAAGTGTTGTGCACCTATTTTCCTGGCATTAACATTTTCTTCAAAAATATAAAATACTGAGTAGTAATTTACCATGTTGAGAGGAACAAGTACAGGGTAATCAACCCAAAATACGAGTAATTGCAACTGAACTCAACATTGCGTTACTAGAATGGGTTTTGTGAAAAAAGTTAAAAACATAAGGAAGATAAAAGTTTTCAATTTTGAGAAGATCTCTTTTGTCTTTTTGTCTTTTTTTGCTCATGTTTTCAGTGTCATATCTAAGAAATGATTGTTGAAAACTAGATCTTGAAGCATTACCTCTATGTTTTTTTCCAAGAGTTTCATGGTTTCAGATCTTACATTTAGGTTGTTGATCCATTTTGTGTTAGCTTACGTATATGTGTTAGGCATGAGCCCAGATTTATTCTTTTGTTTGTGGAAATCCAGTTGCTACAACACCATTTATTAAATAGACTATTTTCTACCCCATTGGATGGACTTAGCACCCTTGTCGAAAACCAATTAACCACAGATGTGTGGGTTTATTTATGGGCTCTCAATTCTATTCCATTTGTCTAGAGGTCTATCATTATACCAGTACCAGACTGTTTTGATTACTGTAGCTTTATGTTTTGAGATCAGGATATGTGAGTCCTCTTACTTAATTCTTTTTCAATACTGCTTTGCCTGTTTGGGACCCTTTGAAGTTCCATATAAATTTGAGGATTGGCTTTTTCATTTCTGCAAAAAAGGCTATTGGAATTTTGATGAGTATTATGTTGAATCTATCGATTGCTTTAGGTAGTATTGACATCTTAACAATATTCATTCTTTTAATCCATGAGCACAAAATATCCTTCCATTTACTTAGATCATCTTTAATTTCTTTCAGTAATGTTTTTGTTGATCAAAGGAAATTATCAATAAACTGTGAAGAGACAGCCTACAGACTAGGAGAAAATTTTGGGGAACCCCCTATGTCTTGGTTTCTTAGTGCTGCTCTAGCAGAAGTACTACAAGTGGGTGGCTTTAAAGAACAGCAATTTATTTTCTCACAGCTTAGAAGGCTAGAAGTCTGAATTCAGGACACCTGGTATAAGGGAAAGTTCTCTTTGCGGAGGATCTGAGAAAGGCCTTTGTCTCATCTTCTGTAACCCTGGCATTCATTGATTCCTTGGCGGTCTTCACTATTTATCTGTCTTCTCCCTGTCTGTGTTTGCTTATCTTTGTGTCTATTTGCTCTTTTTATAACTCAGAAGTGATTAGGTTTAAGACACAATCTATGGACTCATTAACATAACAAAGAACACCCTATTCCCAACTGGGATCATACCCATAGGTATAGGGGTTTGGATTCCAACACATATTTTGGGGGAACACAATTCAATCCATAACAATGTATCTGATAAGGGTTTAATATCCAGAATATATAAAGAACAACTTAATAATAAAAAATAAATATCC